TGAACAGAGGGTCAGTTAGGAAGGCAACATTTGGCTAAAGGCGTGGAAATTTAAGTTTCTTTTAATTCACTGCATTATAAAGTTAGCTTGTCTTTGGGAAATAGTCCTAACTAAATGCGTTCATTAATGAAAACTACCTACGCCTAGATTTGGCAGTGCGGGGTGCGCGATGAACTTACCTCCACGTGGAGCACCCTGGACAACGTATCTTCATACGGCAAAAAGTCTATCAATCGGCATTTTGACTTCTATTTATTATGCTTAGCTTGAAACAAAGCTATAAGAGAAATCGCCCTCTTCAGGGCGAATCACAACATCTTCAGATCCTCCAGTGGAGTGCTGGAGGGATGTCACAGGTTTCAGGGCTAATGATAAATATCATAAAGCCTGACATTTGAAAGAAGATTTGGCAGTGCCCATGTCCAAATGTAGGAGACCATGGAACGTCATCTCACCAATCAGAATGAGCACCGCAACTACTCCTTAGTTAGTTGGCAACTTAAGATTACCTCTAATATCGAAGTGAAAGCGTACGGATCGAGTTGCGCATTTTTTCTGATTGTGAGAGGTTGACACAGAGCCAGGCCATTAAAATACAACTTTCTCTGCGTCGGTCATGGAACGGATATTGATTGTTGGTGCTCTAGCGCTCACGAGATTCATTGGCTCAACCATGCTAGCTTTGTGCTCTCCAGACATTTAGCTGATCATTTTGTTGATCTGGTGGACTTATTTCAATTAAATGGGCTTCCGCGACAAAAAAAGGGTTGACAGTTTTGGATTAAATATATAATTGTCACAATGAACAACCAAAATTTGTCCACTATTCGTTGTCTGAAGGAATTGTTGAAGGATAAGTAAACTCCTTTCGAACAGACAACTATATGATGTGTGCCAATATTAATCGACATTTATAGATTTAGAGAGCAAAAAATTGGGCTATATAACAGTGTAACCATTTTTTATCTGGAAATAATGTCTGATATTTTCCACTAGACAAGTGTTCTCTCGTAGCAAATGCCAAAGTACACTACGGCATCCAAATAAATACTATTTGACAGCAATGTTCGGATTAGGCGAAAATCTGGTATTACAACTTCGCCGTTTCACACAAATAGTGGCTATTTTATCCAAAAAGTTTGTAATCGAATGCTGACTTTGAACATGGTTAATAACTTTAGTTGTTAACGCACCCAGTAAACGGTAACATTGATTTATCAGTGATTTTCAACTCTGACAGGCATTACTTGGAATCAATAAACTGTTTAAGGCTCATATCTTCTAAAACGTGTTATTTGGCTAAAATTGATTCTATTAGGAATTAAAAAATCGGCTACGATTTTGAAATATTGGACTTCTCAACTTTCACCGTAAACTCTTAGCAACTAGTGGAGATTTGGATCTGACTGAGATTTTAAGTTATTTTGTAAATTGCTGTAAATACGGTTTCCAGATGTGTTACCAACACATAGGCTGAGACGAATAAAAGAATGCCGAATTTGTCCAAGTGAGAAACGCACTTTCAACTCCCTCCTTCCTGAAACAGCATTACCGACGAGGAGTATCTATTTTCTCCGCTGGAAGTTGGGGTCGATAAGCAGAGGTCTCTTGAATTATTGCCCTATCCTAACTAGCGTGGTGGAAACGCTAAGACTATCTAGTGCGCTTCAAACTGCATCCACCTCCATGCGAAATCACATGAGATCTGCCCAAACACGAACAGAGAACTAGCGAGCATGACTCATCGGAGTTTTGTCTGCATGGCATAGTCAGTTAAAGCTACATTTTGCCATGTTTATCACATGAAGTGGAGGTCTGTAAATTCTGGAAGGATATTTTAAAGTT